GGGAGGCTGCGGCAGCGCTGGGTGGTCGGGGCAGGCAGACTTGACCTTGAAGTTCGGCTGGTCACTCCCTACCCACGCTAAGCCGCAGCTTCTCCCATCTAAGTGAGAAATGGGGAAGCATCCTGCCTTCAAAACTGAGCACTTACTAGGAAGACAGGGTGAGAGAGAGCCTTCTGGAAAGAGGAGCAGCGTGTGCAAAGACGTGCCGTGGTGCAATGTCAAGGCGTGTTCAGGGCACAGGGGAGCTGGGCTGCAGCTTCCCAGGAGAGAGGAAGCGCGGCCGGGCCACCAGGACCAGCCCGCCGGCTCCACTCCCACTCCACTGGTGACTCTCGTTGGGTGAGAAAATGTGCAGATTATTTCTGATCAAGGGTTCTCCTCACCGGTCTCGCCTGGCTGGCCCGCAGCCCCAGCTCTGGCCTCAGTGAGCACCGTGGGGATGCGGGGTGAGGCTGGCACCTCATGGGCCCCGTCGCCCAGCCATGGGAATGCTTAGGGCCGAGAAAAGGAGGTGGTGGCAGGAATGGGGTGCGGAGAGGTGTCTGTCTCAGCTGGTGCCTTATGACCCCTTCGTCCCCACACACACAGGAGGCCAGGGCACCGAGGGCCAGAGCTCCAGTGACTCGGCTGCAGGCACATGGGAGGCAGTACTGTCTCCAGCGCCTACCGGGGCCTGATCTTACACAGATTCTCAGAGTCTCCAGGGAGTAAACAGTTTCCGTGTTGGAGGGACAGTGCAAAGGCTTGCAGCTGGTGCTTGGTTGCGCCCTGGTAGATGCCCCCTCTCAGAGGCCCTCCTCCCTGACCCTCTGCTGGCTCCTCCTTCTCGGCTCCCAGACTGCAAGTTGCATCTCCCCAATGCAGCCACCAAAAGCCCCGGGGACCCAGCACAGAGGGGGCTGGGGACATCTCCTTGCCAGCCTCAGAACTGCAGCCTGACTCTGGGCGACCAATGGGCCCCGCTCTGCCCGGGCGCCTGCTCACCTTCCACCAGCAGCACCACCCCTACAGCCAGCACCTCCAGCTCCCCAAAGCCTGTGGGCAGGGACACGGCCTCTGCCATCTCGCTTCCCCTGGCCCAGCGCTTCTCTGGCTCCTGAAAACCAGACCCCTCCCTTTTAAAGGGCCGGTGGACACACGAGGGCCCATGGCGGGGGGGATTATGCTGGACCTTGGGCTCTTTCTTGCTGCCCCTCCTCCCACAGTGTCCTCTGGGCCAGAGCAGAAGGTACGTCCCCGCTGCACAGGGCAGCCTTTGTGAACCAGCCCAGCTGGGGGATTAGGACCGGACTCCAAGCTGAGCGGCTAAGCCGAATTAGAAGAGTTGCATAACCAGGGAGGGAGGGGAGCAAAAGGAGGGATTTGAAGCTGTAGCTGTGCCTGAGAACTGGTTAGGAGCCAGGTCCTGGTGTGTTTGTCGGTGCTGACAAGCTGAGCACCTGAGCGTGGGGGAAAGGATGGTGGCTAGGAAGCCACCTGTTGTCATAGAAAGAATCCCAGCTGGGGTCAGAGACTCGGGTTCTGGTTCTGAGTCTGCCATCACCTAGCTGTGTGCCCTGGGGTGGGCCCACTGGGGGCTCTTCTCCGCTTTTGCAATGTGGGCATCTTTCCTCAGGGCCTGTGCAGGTCTTGGATAGAAGACTCCGTGGTGCATGTGGTGTTCGGGGCGGGGGGGAGGGGGGACGTCCCGACGCCCACAGAGCCCTTCAGCTCCCCAAGCATCAGTCTCCCAGGGCCCACAACCACTATGAGCTTTGGCTTCTGCAATGAGGTCCTGGTACAATTTACACACTGGCTCATGGTGAAGTTTACAGCAGGAAACATCGATCTGGAGCAACTCTACTCATTTCAGGTAAAGAGTGCTATCAGCAACACAGCTCATGCCCACTGGTGCTCGCTAAGGCCAGGCGTGGACTAACTCCCGGGGGATGGTTCCTGCCACAACTCAGATACCGCCACCCTTGCAGAGGGACCTGTTCTAGAGGGATGGCCTAGGCTCTGCTCAGAAGGCCGTGCTCCGCCTGGCTGTCCATGGCAGGCGGGAGGCAGCTGCTTGCCGGGTGCCCAGAGGCTCGTGAGCCCCTGGGAGAGCATTTGGAGGTCTCTCCAAACCTCTGCGTCTCCCCACTCCGCCATGAGCAGGTACTTGCAAGTGCCAACAAAACGGGGTCCTGACGACTCCTAAGAGAGCTTCTGCTTTGTGGGCTGTCGAGGCCTAGGGAACTTGGGTTGTTCAATTTTCATAAACACCCCGAGCAAAGTAACATTACTTCCCTTTGACAAATGAGGACACAGAGGCCAAGAGGAATCATGTGACTTATCAAAGGCCATAGCCCTGAATGGAAGCGCTGGGATTTGAACCAGGCAGTGTGGTCCTGAGCTTGGGCTCTTCCTCACGCCTTCGCTGTCCTCACCTTGTTGCGTCTGCACCACAACACACATCACAGAGAAGAACCTCCACGGCCAGCACCGACGCCAGGGCCTGTCTTGTCTCCTGTAAGCCAGGTGCCTGGTGGTCTCTGCTGCCCATGGCCGGGCTGACCTTGGGGTTCTGCAGATGGGTGGCCAGCCAGCTGGCCCAGCTATGCTTGCCCTGTCCACCCACCTGCCCCACCTTGCCAAGCTCGGCCTCTCTGGGCCTGTGGCTGTTGTTACAGAGGGGACCCCCACCCCTACTCTCAGGATGGGTGATTCCAGGGAGCAATAAGCCTCTGAGTACTGTGACTGGCCGAGCTCCTTCCCTAATCCCCGTTCTGTCCTGTTTATCTGATGGCCTCAGGCAGGGGGGTGGAGCAGGCAGGACAGATTGGGCCAGGCCAGGCCCCTGCCTGGGCTGCAGCGGAGCCTGGAGCCATGAGGGTGGCGCTGGGCATGCTCTGGCTCCTGGCCCTCAGGCCCCCACCCCAGGCCTGGAGCTCCTGTCCGCCTCAGTGCAGCTGCAGCCTCCAGGTCCTGGGCAATGGCAGCATGGCCAGGTAGGGCGCCAGGTGTGTGGGATGGCATCCCAGTCCCCAGCTCCACCAGCTGGCTGGGGTGGGAGGGTTGGATGCAGGGCTCAGAGAGTGGCCAGGTGAGACCTCCATTTCCCAGGACCTTGAGGCTGATCTGTGCTGAATTATTGTCTGGACAGCAAGGCATGGCTCTGCCTCAGAGGTACCAGGCACCTCTGCAGGCGGAGTGGGGTGGGGCACAGGTGTGCAGCCCCAGGAAATCCTTCCCGAATCCTCCTCCAGGACTTCTCCCCTTTACCTCTTCCTCCCCCCTCCCTCCCTCCCTCCTTTCCTTCCTTCCTTCTTTTATTCCTTCTTTCCTCCCTCCCTTTTTTCCTCCCTCCCTTCCTCCCTCCCTCCCTTCCTTCCTTCCTTCCTTCCTTCCTTCCTTCCTTCCTTCCTTCCCACCACTCTCTCCATATCTCCTTAGCCTCCTCTTTCCCAGGCCTTTCCTATTCTCTTGCCTCATCTCTCAGAGTGCCCATTCATATCCCAGGTATCTCTGACTACCCTCCCAGGATGGACCACCTGCCTCCTATGCGCTGCCTTTTTGGGTCTCCTCTGGCAAAGCCCTCAGAGCCTCAGCCTTGACCTCTTCCTAGAATGGGACTGCCCATTCTTTTGCAGCAAACACCCCTCCCTCCACACCTCTCTTTGACTTTCCCCACCCCCTCTGAGCTCTGGGAGCACCTC